AAAGCCGGCAGTCCAGGCTCAGGTGATCTCTTAGGTTAAACCAGGACCTGGACGGGAGTTCTGTGGGGCTCGGATCCCCGACACCACCCCGGCCCAGGGAAGGCTCTCCTGGGCCCCCTGTCCATCTCCCGGCGGTCCCATGAGCAGGCCTGGAAGCCCACCCACCCAGAGTTTGGGGCCGGCTGGGCGGCTGGCCTGCATGGGGATGAAGTCAAGCTCAGGGGAGCGAGAAGCTGGCACCGAACTTCCTGGGGAGCTGGGGGTGGGCCAGGGCCCAGCAGGCCAGCTAGAGGCTTCTTCTCAGAGCACGGTGGCCCTGGGGACGCTGCACGAGATGTAGTCCAGCCAGAGTGGCCCCCAGCCCCGCCCCAGGCCGCATGGCCCGGGAGGCTGCCTGTCCCTGGAGCTCAGCCTGCTTTCCCGCCCAGGCTGCCCTGTTCCTGGGTGCTCCCACCTGTAGCTCCATCGGTGAAAAAGAGACACTTAGAGTGAGCAAGGGGCGACTTGGGGGGAGGGAGGGGCATGCGAAGGGGTGCCACAGACCAAGGGGCCCAGGGCCCGCACACACCCCCACTCGCTGCCTCCTGAAGCCAGGCCTGCGTTCCCTGGGCAGGAGGGAAGGGGCCAGGATGGTCTGACTTTGCCCCAGCTCTCTGTCATCGTGCCACCAACTCAGCCCCAATAGCTAGAAGATGAGTCCCCTCCCCTGTTTTGTCCGAGTCAGATGAGAGAAAAGATGCACAGCGCCAGACGCAAATATATGATGTTATATTAGTTTCAGGTACATCACTAGCAATGAGATATTTATGCGACTTACAAAGTGATCGCCCCAGTAAGTCTGGTGCTCGCCTGGCACCTCGCACAGTTATCACAATGTTCCTGATTATGCTGATTATGTTCCTCACGCTGTACTTTACATCCCTATGACTATTTTGTAACTACCAATTGTACCCGTTAATTCCTTCCCTTTTGCTCCCAACCCTCCAGCCCCTCCCATCGGCAACATCCAAAGTTCTCCGTATCTGAGTTTCTTTCCGTGTTGTTCGGTTTTTTTTTTTTTTTTTCGAGTTTAACCATCATTCTATTTTCTATTTTTATCGTGCTGTTCGTTTTTTTTTAGATTCCACATGTAAGTGGATCACACAGCATTTGTCTTTCTGTCTGACTTACTCCACTCAGCACGACACCCTCTGGGTCCATCCATTGTTGTCGCGGATGGCGAGGTCTCAGTCTTTTTTATGGCTGAGTAATATTCCCTTGTGTACAGGCACCATCTCCTCTGCCCATCCATCCATGACGGAGGCCCAGGTGGCCTCCATACTGTGAATGACGCTGCAGTGAATGTATGGATGCGCATGTCCCTTCGAAGTAGTGTTTCGGTTTCTTCAGATAAATACCCCAAAATGGGATTGCTGAGTCTTTCTTTGTCTCGTTATAGCCTTTGTTTTAAAGTCTATTTTGTCTGGTATAAGTTGCGTTCACAGACTTTTTGTTTCCATTTTCATGAAACGCATTTTCCCACCCCTTTACTTTCCGTCTGTGTGTGTCTTTCAATCTGAAGTGAGTCTCTTGTAGGCAGCGTCTGTGGGGGTCTGGTTTTCTTATCCGTTCGGCCACCCCATCTTTTAACTGGAGCACCTAATTCATTTACATTCAGAGTAATCGTTGATGGATATATAGTTATTGCCATTTTATTAATTACATTTTTGAATCTTTTTTTTTTTTTTCCCTTTTTTCTTCTTAATGAAGTCCCTCCAGCATTTCCTGTAACCCTGGCTTGGTGGCGATGAACTCCTTTAGCTTCGTCTTGTCCGGGAAGTTCTTTCTCTGTCCTTTGATTCTAAATGACAGCCTTGCTGGGTAGAGTCATCTTGGTTGTAGGTCCTGGCTTTTCATCACTTTGAATATTTCCTGCCAGTCCCTTCTGGCCTGCAAAGTATCTGTTGAGGAATCAGCTGACAGTGTTATGGGTGCTCCCTTATAGGTGACTAGTTGCTTTTCTCTTGCTGCTTTTAAGATTCTTTGTCCTTAACGTTGGCATTTTAACGATGCTGTCTTGGTGTGGCCTCTTTGGGATCATCTCGTTTGGGACTCTCCGCACGTCCTGGGCTGGTATGTCTATTTCCTTCGCCGGGTTGGAAAAGTTGTCAGTCATTATTTCTTGAAATACGTTTTTAAGTTTTTGCTCTGTCTCTTCTTCTGGTCCCCTTATGATGAAAACATTGGTACGCTTGATACTGTCCCGGAGGCCCCTTAAACTATCCTCATTTCTTTGGGTTTTTTCTTGTTGCCGTTAGTTTTCTGCTACCTTCCCTTTTAACTCGTCGATGGGATCCTCTGCTTCATCTAATGTTAATTCCTTCATTTCGGTTCTTGTAGTCTTCATTTCTGACTAGTTCTTTTTGTTTTCTATTTCCATTTTTATGTTTTTTTTTTTATCTCTTTGTTCAAGTTCTCACTGAGCTCATCTACTCTTCCCCTAAGTTCACTGAGCATCCTTATAACCAGTGTTTTGAACTCTGCAGCTGGTAGGTTGCTTGTCTCCAACTTGTTTAGTTCTTTTTCAGGAGTTTTGTTCTGTCCTGTTTCTTTGTCTCCCTATTTTGGCTGCCGCCCAGGGTTTGTTTCTGTGTATCAAGTAGGGCTGCTATGTCTCCCGGTCTTAGTACAGTGGCCTTATGTAGTAGGTGGGACCAAGTAGCATGGTCTTCCCTGATCACCTGAGCCGGGAACTGCAGGTGTGTCCCTTGTGTGGGTTGTGTGTGCCCTGTTGTAGTTGACCCTTAGTTACTGTTGGCTCGTCAATAGGAGGGACTGACTCTCAGGCTGATTGGTGGGGACTGGCCATGACCACCGTGGAGAAGCTGTAGCAGGGCTGACCCTACGGAGCAGCATTCACTTTAGCAGGGCTCTGGTGCCCGCCTCTCTGCCCTTTGGGCGTGTCGTCTTTGGATGTGACCCCAGGTGCTCTGGCTCAGAAGGAAGCCGGCCACCAGGCATGCAAGCCAATGCCTCTGGGGAGGGGCCCGCCACAGGCCAAGTTCAGCCACAACCTGTACTCTGCCCAAGGCCGCCAGGCATGAGGCACTAAGCAATTTGCAGATGGCTGTCACCCGTGCTGAGCTTGGAGGTGCCTCGAGAGTCCACGCTGTGGACTGAGGCCGGCTGCTGCCAGTGCCTGGCTTGGAGCTGCCTAGCTAGAGGTACAGGGCATGCTGAGGCCAGATGCTGCTTGTTTGGGGTTTATGAACCTTTGAGAGATTTTAGGAAAGTCCACAGCATGCTCCAAAACAGGCCATTTGTACAGAAAACCCACTGGAAACAGCTTGGGTGGGCCCGCACATTGGGAGGGGTGGGGTCTTGAGGAATCACCGGGGGCGGGGGTGAACAGTGTCAGCCGGGTGGATGGAGCTCAGATATGGTGGTTCCTGTATCTGCAGGCTGGGTGGGGAAGGGCTCAACAAAGGAACAGTGGCCTCCGCCAGCACTTCTGCCCCTCCAGCCTTGGCTCTGAAGCCAGACAATTCAGTTCCTCCCGCGTGTCTCTGGCCCCTTTTGAAGTGCTGCCTGAGTGTCGGAGCTCAGAGCAAGCGAGTCCGTCACTGAGTAAGTCCACACGGGGGCCCTTTAAGAAGATGCCTGGGACCCCAGCCGCCCTATCCCACTCAGCCACAATCTTCACTACTTTCCACAGCCAGATTTTGTGGGGCCTTCTCTTCCTGACTCTGGAACCTGGGCTGGGGAGCCCGGTGTGGGGCTGGGACCCTTTGCTCCTCTTGGGGGACCGCTGCAGCCGAGACGTCCCTCCCCAGTTTTAACTGCCACGCAGGGGGTGGGACCAGCCCGTTCCGTGTCTCTGCACCTCCTACCAGTCTCGAGGCGTGTCCTCAGTTGTACAACTTCCGTTCAGCCAGACCTCAGGCAATTTTCAGTGATGTTCGTCCTGTAGTTTGGTTGTAATTCTGATGTGGTCACGAGAGGAGGTGAGCGCGGCGTCGACCTATTCCACCATCCTGACCGGAAGCGCGCCTCCATTTTTCTATTCCCAATTTACTTATTTTTGTTCTTACCCTTATTAATTCCTGCCTTCTAATTTCCTTTGTCTTTTGCTAACTTCTTGAATCGAGCATGTACTTTGTTCCTTTTCATTTGCATTGCTCAGTAATAGAAGTACTCGGGGCCCGAACCTCCCTCTGGCACCGCTGTGGCTGTGTCCCATCCATGGGACCGACTGCTTTCGTTACTGTTTCCCCAAACTTCTGCAGTTCCAGATTTGATTTCCTCTTGGACCCAAGGGTCATTTCACACGCAGGGATTAAAAAATTAACTTACAGCTTTATCGTCTTGAGACTAGGTAATGCTACCCATACCATGTGGCGAACATTTTCTCGGAAACCTAGTGTGTGGTGATTTTGTGAAAAGCAGGTGCTGCCTCTCCTCTCGGGTAGAGTCTGATCGCGTTGGTCTGACCCTTCGCATTCTGCTGCGGAGGCGTCTGGCGGCTGCTACTTCATGTCCGTTTTCAGTGCCAGGGCCTGAGGCTGGGGTAAGGGTCGGCCCTCCATGTACCTGCGGACAGTGGATGTGGGTACATCCCTGAGGCAGGTTGGGGTGGCAAGGGAGGCGCGGGGCAGGACACTTTGCCCAGGGGGCCGGGGAGGATGAGACCCTCTGTAGGGTCCCTTGCCGTCTTCTGTAGGGTCCCCCGCCCCGAGCCAGGAGCCTGGCTGTGGCTTCTAGACACCCTGCTAGCTTGATTGTGACAGTGTGTGACCTTTCCGGACCGTTCCAGGCTCAGCTTTCCAAACGGGATGAAGATAGTCACAGGGCCTCTGGGTAGCCAGGTAGGGGAGGGGGGGTCGCATGGTCCCCAAGGCCATGGGCACTGGGCTCCCCAGAACGACTTGACGAAAGCATGGGTCTAGCTGGTGGTCCGACTAGGGAGTTCTGTCTGGGGTGGGGGTTGCCCAGGCATGGCAGTAGCCTGGCCCAAGGCTCAGGTCAAAGGCCAGTTTGCAGGGAAGGACTTCCTGGGGTGCGCCATCTCCACGGGGCCACCAAGGGTTGGCCTTAATCCCGTCTAACCCGCAGGCCCCACGCTGGGAGCTGAGAACTGGGGCTGCTTCTCTGTGGTCCGGGCTTCGGGGCCAGGCCGCTCCTGTAGCAGGGGCCTCTGAGCCTCTGGGGGCAGCCGCCCTGGGCCAGCTGGATGGTCCTCCTCTGCTCTCCAAGGCTGCTCACCCAACGCTGGCTGGGAGGGCGGGGTGAGCACCTCCCTGATTTGGGGGCGGGGTGCACTCCAGGGTCTGGACATTGGATGAAACTCACAGGGTGGCCCCGTGACTGGGCTGGGGAGCGCGGGGTCAGTGTAGCCGGCAGCCTGAGGTCGCCTCCCTCCGGATTCTTGCCTTCAGCCTCTTTAGGCCGCCGTGCTCGGGGTCCACCAGGAGGCCGCTCTCGGCCGCTGTCCAGGCCTCTGTGTAGCGCTGCTCCTGCAGGCAGCGCTGCCCCTGGCACAGGAAGATGCGGGCGGCGCGGGCCCGGCCCGGCTGCTCCCACAGGCTGCTTTGGGCTGTGGTGGGTGCCAGCCTGAGGGCCTGGGCCAAGGCCCCTGTGGCCCCGGCCTCATCCCCCAGGCTCAGGAGCAGGCGGCCCCGGGAACACAAGTCCTCCACCCTCGTCCGGAGGTCACAGTCTCCCGCATCCTCCTGGAGCACGCGGTCCAGGTCCCCTAGTGCCCGGCCAAACTCCTGCAGCTCAGCCAGGCAAGTGGCCCGCAGGCGCAGGTGACCGGCCCTGCCACCACTAGCCAGGACGGCCAGCGAGCAGTAGCCCAGCGCCTGCCAGGGCTGCCCCGAGCTCAGGAGGGTACCGGCTTCCTGGGCTGCGGTCTGCGGAGAGGGCAGAGGTGGGGAGCGTGGGTCAGTCCAGAACGGTGCAGCCCCGCAAGGCCCTGCACACCCCGCCTGGTGGAGGAGCTGCCCGTGCCCTCTGCCCCCGCCCTCTGAGATCCCGCCCCCGGAGGCTCTGCCTGCCGAGCTCGCTGGGGCGGCGCCCACTCCCCCCCCACGCCCCCTCTCCCTGGTGCCCCCTCTCCCGGCCCTGCTGCTTTTCTCACTTGGGTGACCCCCTCCCTCTGCTCCTCTCCGAAGTCACCTCCCCAACAGGCCCCTCTGACGAGCTGCTGTCCCGGCCATCCTCCCGCCCTGCCCGTCCTCCCAAGGCTGCCCTGGCCCTGGGGACAGTAGCAAACACGGCCTCTGCCCAGCCTGGTCCTCCAGCCCCCTCCTCGGCCCAAGGGGTCTGCCGAGCACTCAGGGGTTCCCCACTACTGTCCCGCACAGCCACGACGCTGGAAAGGAGACACCGCGCCCACGGCTCCGGCATGGCCCGCAGGTCCCCGGGGCTGGGGTTTACTGCCTGCCCCGCAGCGTCGCGGGCGCGTGGTTGGTTCCGTGTTCCCACCTCTGCGACAGCGCGCAGAGCGAGCGGGGCGGCCGGGGGCCGGGGAGCCCAGCTCGCCTCCCGGCTGTGGGGCGCTGACCGCCGGCTCCACCTGTCCGAGCCGAGCCCCTCGCCGGCGCGACGCTGACCACTTCCGGTCCCCTTCCGGGCGGGTCTCGTCGCCCGGCAACGGCCGCCGCGCGCGTCCTGCCCGCACCCGAAACCAGCTCTGCTCGAGACCCCGCGAGGCCGCTCCTCAGAGATCCCCGGCTCTGCTGTGCCTCCCGAGCTCCGGGTCCCGATGACACTGTCTCCCTGGGCTCGAGATGGCCAGACCTGGGTGCCTCCTGCTCGGCCCCCACCCACCCCACGGCCGCGGTGCTGCGGAGCGGCCGGCGTGGGCTCCGTGG